GCCAAAGCTTTTAAAAAGCAAATAGTGAATTGAAAAAATGGTGGAATCAGATAGATGAATGATCAAGTTAAAATTTATTTGCTTCTAAAGGTATAGTTTGGAATTTATAGTTGAAAAAGTCCATGGTGGGGAGGTTTTCTGGAGAGAGACAGATACGGACGGTTAAAACCTGCTTAAAGAAAATTGTTGGACGATCCTCTCTCTCTTTGAAGGAATTGGAAACTGTTTTTCGGAAAAATTGAAGCTCTGGTTAATTCCAGGCCTATCACGTATCTGTACAACGAACCCTCAGAACCCTCTCCACTCACCCCATCTCATTTTCTTATTGGTAAAAGATTGGTGTCTTTACCTGTAATAAAACATAAAAAAGAAAATTTAAATGTTAGTAGGAATTCTTTGGTAAAGAAATATAAATATCAGCAAACACTTTTGAATCACTTCTGGAACAGGTGGAGAAAGGAATATTTACTTAATTCTAAGATCAGCTTATATTTCTCCTACAACCAGGTAAAATATTTTAATTTAAAGTGAATGATATTGTTTAGATTAATGATGAGCGTTATCCCAGAAATATGTGGATGATGGGAAAAATTTTAGAGTTATATTCAGGAAGAGATGGAAAAGTTTGTTCTCTTCTTATTCAGACTCCTAAAGGAAAGAAATAAAACGCTCAGTACAACTTGTGTATAATCTAGAAATTAATCCTTAATTGTGTTAGTTTAATTGAGTTGCAACCTGTTAATGTTCTACCTGTGTATTAATGATAGTTTAATTGTGCTTATATTTTAAAGCTTGATATTTGAACAATTTTCTTTGGAAGTTAAAAAGTGTAATTTGGTTTTTGTATGTCAAGTGACTGAATAATTTTGAAGCTTTGTATTTGATATAATATGCTATTTATATTTTTATTCTTGTAATTTTAAATGTTCCTGGATGTAAATTTAGTTAATTCAATGGTAAGTGAACTCAAGTGAGTTCAGGTGGGGAGTATTACGTATTTCCACCGTCATTCTGACTAGAGGGCGCTGCGTTCGTCCTAATAGTCAGTGGCAGGCAGGATACTAAAGGTGTAAGACGTGGAAGGCAGAGATGCCTAATAATATATCTAATTGATAGAAATTTTCATATATTTTCTTGTAAATAAATGTTGTTATTGTTAACAAAACCTCTTATTATCTCTTGGATGCACCTTTAGTCTCACAGAACCATTAGATGCAAAAAAGGTTATATGGAAAATTTTGTGTCATCATCCTGTGTATGCAAAAATTAATCACAAGGGAAAAAAAAGGTGTGTGTAATATTAATGCAACTATTTTATATGATGTAGGTCTAAAATTAGAAGTAGAATCAGCTTCTAATATTGGAACTGAAAATATGGGGAAAATAAAATCAGCAGTGTATGAAAATCATATGTAAGTGGTTGGTCAACAAAAAAGGCACAGAATAAAAAAATATATACAGTCAAAAGTCTTTAATACGAACACGTCGGGACTTCAGCGATTCTGGATTATAGATCATCAGTTTAAATCTGGTAAGATGGCATGCAGAAATTATAAAATTAAAAATATGAAACCATAATTTATGAAATAAAGAACAATTATGATCTAAAGGGTATGAAAATTTACCAAAAAAAAAAAAAAAAGCTTAATATTTGTTTGTTCACTTTATTAAACATTTCTTTCAACGCGCACATGTTTAAAGCATACATTACGCATAGTCGAAATTAGAAAATTGCAACCAAAAAACTATTTGATGTGTATTCGTGATATTTATAATGACTAGGAATTTGATTTAAATCATATCAAAGACGGAGTACATCGAGATGAAATACAGTCATAAGTCATTAATTCGGACACCCATAATCCGGAATGATCTATAATCCGGACCTCAAAAGCTAAAAACTTTCTGCGCGTGCGCCGCGTTGACACAGGCGCATAGGCATTTACGCATGCGCATAAGACCTTTTACGTGTGCGCAAGTGCAGAATACGTTTTCGTGTGCGCGTTTTATGTATAACGGACGCTATAAGCTAAAATTATCTAATTATCTATTTCCGTTAATGATGATGATTGCGTTGTTCCTTAATTTTCAAATTGGATCCGGCTTATTATTTTTTGCAGACTGTAAGAGAAATACTATAAAAGTAAACTTGAGCTTTTGATTATGTCAAAAAGAATTTCCGATTCTGGAGCTCCCAAAGGATCGTACAAAACGAAAGTATGTTTCGATGTCCATCAAACAAAAAGTGGAATTGCTGCAAAAAATGGATAAAGACATGAAGAATGTGACAGAGAGGTTAGTGAAAACGAAAAAATTTCAATTAACAAGTTAGTCGGTATTCTCGGCGCAGCAATTAACGGGACTTGAACAGCGCGGAACTTTGTAAACTGAACAAGAAATTATGTCTGTTTTATAGAATTAAAGAGAAAGTATTATCACATAAAACGAAGCAACTTAAATAACTTACATTGAAAGAAATGTTTAATAAAGTAAACAAATAAATATTACCCCTTTTTTTTTTTTTTTTTGTAAATTTTGATACTCTTTAGACCATAATTGTTCTTTATTTCATAAATTAAGGTTTCATATTTTTAATTTTAGAATTTCTGCATGCCATCTTACGAGATTTAAACATGATCTATAATCCGGAATCGCCGACGAGTCCGGATTAACGACTTTTGACTGTACTACATTTAGTAAGGAATTATAAGCGGAATAAAATAAAAACATCTGCCCTGAAGATAAAGATAGTGCTGACAGATCAACTTCCAGTTCATTGTGTGCCGCGACGTCCCCCCCCCCTGCAAATCAACGTGAAATTGATAAACAGATTTCGGAATGGTTAGAGAAACAAAGGATATGCCTTTATTCATTTTTTGCAGCAATTCCACTTTTTGTTTGATGGACATCGAAACATGCTTTCACTTTGTAGATCCTTTGGCAGCTCTAGAATCGGAAATTCTTTTTGACATAATCAAAAGTTCAAGCTTACTTTTATAAAATTGCTCTAACAGTCTGCAAAAAATAATAAGCCAGATCCAATTAGAAGATTACGGAACAAGGCAATCTGCAACATTAACTGAAATAGATAATTAGATAATTTTAGCTTAGCTTATACCATCCGTTATACATTAAACGCGCATGCGTAAATGTATTATGCGCATGCGTAAGGGTATTATATGCTTGCGTAAACACATTATGCGTTTATGCATGCACTGAAAGTTTGTAGCTTTGAGGTCCGAATTATAGATCGTTCCAGATTATGGACGTCCGGATTAAAGACTTTTGACTGTATATATAAAGTTTTGAAGATATCATACAGCTGTACGTGTGTATAGAAATTAGGGTTAGACTAAGTCAATTTAAAATAAAAGGAAAAATTTTACAAAATGAAAAACATTCTGACAGGTCATGACAGCTGATAAATATGTTGTATAAGAAAGATTTCTGAACAAGGTAGAAAGTCCTGCCATTTATTAATAATAAAACCCACACATAATTTCCTCAGCAAGCACTATGTAGAGAACCTCATCAAATGATATCTACTAGAGTAAAGTGCTAGATAAAAACTGCTGTCAAGCTTCCAAAAATCCTGCTCGTTTAGCTTGAGTCAGAAGTCAAAAAATGGAGCTGTTGATTAATAGGAGGCTTCCATATGGTCTGAATACAAATTCGCCTGTATTCAAATGGTATAAGACACAGAAGCAGCAAGAAGTCTAAAAAAGCATTCAAAACTGAATGTGCTTGGAAGACTGTCATTTAACTAAATACTATGGAGGATGTTCACATATTTTTCTAACGATTTTGATTTTATTCATGAATTTTAATATTAAATTTTAAAAACGTGACTGGCATCAAATTGGAATAAGGTTTAATTATCATTTGCAGCATTAAAATATTTTTTTTTCTTTAAAATTTCGCCGAAAAATAAACAATGGATCTTTAAAATTTCACTGGAAAATAAACAACCTCTGACTGGGAAAAAGCCAAAAAATGTATACCCAACAAAGGTATGTATAGCTCTTATTAAATCTGAAGTTGCATCTCATGTTTTAAAGGAATATCCAGCTCCCCAAAGAGCTATTGCAAAATCTTCAGCTATCTCTATAGGAACTGTGAACAAAATTACAAAATATGATTTAAAGCTAATCTAAACAAAAAAACGTGATGTTCATTGCCGAATGCCGAAACATGTTTCTCTATATACAGATTGCTCTATGTAAGACTATGTACAGATTGCTATATGAAAAGTATTTGGCAGGTGAAAAATGGAAATATATAGTTACAATTGATGGGGCGTAAATATGCTTATCTAATTGCAATAGAAAAAGATCGATTTACTGCCGAAAAAGACTTAATATGTTGATTCAGATAAAACAAGGAAAATTTTTCTAAAAATTTTATGGTTATTACTGTATTTTCTTATAACCGTGAAACCTAAAATAAGGAACGTAGAAAAAAATCTTAAAATTAATTAAGCGGATTACTATCAGAAACATGTTTTAATACCTATTTTCAAAGAAGAAATTCCGTCTCATTATCCAAACAATCTTCACTGTGTTAAGTTTCATTAGGATATGGCTCCAAGCCATACCTCTAAAAATCTACTGCTCTATTTTTTGAAAAAATGAGAAATGAAACCAGAATTGAAGCTGTTCCCTTTAAGTGCATATCACCCAAGTCCCCTGATGTGTCTCATAATTATTAGTGTGCATTTGGACTTAAAACAAGCTGTTTATAAGCGGCATCTGAAAACATGGAAAGTGGCGGGCTATCAGACTTCAACAAAAGGGCTATTGTTTATATATAAATATTTAGAAAATCATTACAAAAATGTGTGAACACCTGCTGTAAATGTAAATTTATAGAATGTACAGTATGTATATTCTTAATGTATTGAAATTTTTTGCAGTGTGAAAAAATTATGTATCATTTTCTGAGTAATTATCTCAATGTTATTTATGTTAAATAATATATTTTGAATTCTTATTTTATAAAAGATAAAGAGCAACAAAGAACTTCTTGCCTTCCTATTCAATGACTTTCTCCTGCTCACACAGCCATTGAAAGAACTGGGACGGATAACAAATGTTTTCACATCTGAAAAAGCAATGAGCTGTCAATATAAAATGTATAAACAGGTAAACTGCACAGCAATTTTTAAAATCTTTCGAAATTATCTAATTTTTTCTAATAATAAGAACATTTATTAAATTCACTCAGAAAATAAAGAAGGATATTGAGTGTATCTGAAAGACCATTAATCTAAAATATCAAACATGGTATTAAAATATGTACCGAGAACATATAAAATCAGTGTATAATAATGAAAATGTTTTTATTCCAATTTTTAAAGAAAATGATTTAGTAATTTTTAATGATTTTATTTTTGCTTATGTTACTGTTAATTTTTCTTTAAATCCTGAAGCTATTGTTCCCCCAAAAGCAACAGCGATTAGAAAAATTCATGACAAAAATAAAAGTTTTAATATATTAGTTAGGAAACAATTGAAGACGGAATGTGTTAAATTTATAAGCAAAGTTAGGCTTTTAGATTGTATAATCTGTAATTTAATGTCGAAACATAGACAAAGTACATATAAGTATATATATAAATATATATATAATATAAACATATATAAGTATTGCAGGTAAATATTTAATATAATATTTTACTATCGATTAATAAAATTCTCTCACTTGCATTTCAGTATACAGTTATACTCCTGTTCTTAACACAGCAAAAAAGTGCTTTAAAGTTTAAAAATATATGTCAAGTGATAAAACGGACCAGGGGCGTAGCTAGAGGGTGGCAAGGGGGGACATCTGTTCCCGGTCGCAGCATCCAAGGGGCGCCAAATTGACATTACGAAATTTTAGAATTAAATGTTTTCCATCCTTGGCAAGCAGTGGGGGCGTGAAATCTTCAGTTGTCCCTGGGCACTGAAATCCCTAGCTACGACTTTGAAATGGACAAATGATATGGCACAGCTACTGAAACTAGCTAAGCCTATATTCCCACAGTAATCACAACTATATTATTTGTGCGTTTGTGCACTTCCCAATGAATGTAAATAAATGGAGAGAGAAAAATGGTCATTTTTGGAACCTCCTACTTATAGGCTACTTCTCAGAACTGTGCTTTTCTTAACTGATCCTTAAACACATGAAATATGAAAATATCAGCAGGGAACCACAGCTATTTATAGTCAAAAAAAATTTTGACTCTTTCCTTTATTCCCTGTACACAAGTTTTCTAATTAAATTTCTTGAGCCATGCTTTGAACATGTCCCTTCTCTCATTAGTGACATTCTATTAGAATTGTCTTGCCCAGAAATTTTTTATCTACATTACAATGACTTCCAAACAAAAGAGTACCGATGCTATCAATACTTCTAAACTTAACTCATGATGTCAATGCAAAAAATTTTAAGAGTAAATTTTTCATTTTTATATTAATGCATTATATGAAATTATATAAAATACAGTACATTTTACTATTATTTATTAATACTGGTAATATTTCACTATTCCAAATTTATCTATTAAACTTCACCATATTTACATGTTTCATGGATATCTTGTTCTAGCATTTACTCTTAACCAGTTTTATATATCCATAATATGTCCTAGAGCAAAGTACTCCCACATGTGAAGATACTGCTGTATACATATTTGGCCTACCAAATAAAGAAAATTCAGTTTTCAAAATTTTTCATCAAAAGATAGATGGACATCCCAGAATGTCGAAATATTTATATTTTTGTTTAAGTGTCTGGTAAAATGTAGAAAAATTATGCGTGTGTGCATGCATTTGTATGTATAATTTTCCTACTTTTTAAATCTATTATCCGTGCACTTGTCAAATTGATATCCACTAGAGAACTAACACACATATCATTCATATATCTATGCATCACTGAGAGCATTGTCCAGAATGCACCGCAGAAATGACATTCACGAAAGGACTGTAAAGCAATATATTGCATCAGGATTATTACAAAGAGATGCAGTTCTCTTAATTTAGCACCAGATACTAAGGAGATAGAGATACATAAAACAAAGGCCCAAATTGAAATTATTTCAAGATGGTGAAATATTTCAAGATTGAAAAAAAAAAAATCTGTCATTTAAAAGCTACGAAAAATTTACTTTCACTTCAGTGTTTTTAGAAAAATAACATGCATTTCAAGGGAGTCTTATGTAAGCCTTTCTTATTCTATAAATAGTTTTGTATGATTGATCGTGGAAAGGATATACAAATTTGTATTCTAACTGAAAGTCAGTCAAAAGTAATTCCCACTAATTTTGTTTTATTAGGTATACAGCAGTACTTATGGGTGTAGTGAAACAATATAAAAATATAGTTTGAGTACGTTTTGATGGTTTAAATATCGTTTAAACACATTATGTGTTATTTGAAATGTATATTGAATTTTCTAAGTGATTTATAACTTAGGAGTGTCATCTGCATAGCATTCATCATGGTATTATTTATTTTATGTAATTTGAATAATTTTGCTTAATATAAATAATGCATAAATACTAAATTCTCACTATATTTATTGATTTAAATTCATTTCCTTGTTTAGCCTATATTCTTAAATAAAGTGGCTGTGAAATCTACAGACTCTGAAAATAATCAAGATGATACCTTTTTTTTATGTTATTCAAACACTGAGCGCATTCACTTTCGATCTACCAGCATCACTGAAAGGTTTGTTCACTGTATTTGATTAACATAGTTATGCTTTGACATCTCAGTAATATCTTTGTAACTGAATTATTATTTTTATTATTATATAAAAGGTTATTATAATTGATTTATTTTGTTTTAAGCCATTACTTTCATAAAGTATGGCAAATAAAAAAATGAGTGTTGCATGAAATGAAATAAAAATATCTCAAAGTTTAATCATAACACTATAAATTTTCAGTATTCGCTTTGTTTTGTGACACTTCAGTTCTGCCCAGATGCATTGCAACATTTCCTCACTTAAGATCATCAAAGCAGCTGTAATGCAGTGTTTTGGATCTCTTATTGGCAATGGGAGCACTTAAAGTTGCTGGCAATGGGGAGCACTTAACTTAAAAATAAAACATAACCTTCAACTCACCCTCAAAAGAAAAGAAATCCCTGGGCATAAGGTTAGGAGACATAAGTAACCATCTGAACAATGATAAATCATCTTCTCAATCCAGCAAGGTAATCATTCAAATAGTGACATACCACATTGATACAGTGAGTTAAAGCTCCATCCTGCTAAAATATGAAATTTTCTGAATCATGGTGAAATGGTGCAGAAGACATTTGTTTTTAGTGAATTCTGTTTTCTTTCAAAGAGAACAGGACAAGTCTCATATCAAACCACTTCACTCAAAATTAAAGGAGTAGCAGAACTTGCCATCTTGCAGTTCTTGCATTGCAAGTATAAAATTTACGTTCTTTGATATAATTTATGTCCCTTGATTTTAAATGCTGCAATATCTGTAAATGATATAGTGTTCATTCATCAGCACAAAATCTTACAAATGATTGGCTGCAGAACATTTAGTTCATGGTTATTGCAGTTTATTGATTTTTGTGGGCTATATAAGAAATTCTTACTTTCTGCTGTCTTTCATTAGAAATCTCTTTCTGCAGTGTTCTCAGAATGCTGATACCTTCACGGAATGTTCTGGTTACTTGATGGATTGGCATATTTACTGTCTTTGAAATGCAAGTTGCACAGTAACAATGAATAAACATTTTTCATATTTAAACACACGAAGAGCTTTCTACTGTAAACTTGTAAATTTGAAAATGGAACACATATTTGTTACATAATGTATCAGAAGTTTACATGCCAGTAAAACAAAGCTTTTGTTATATCAGTATGCAGAAATTTACATTCAATTAGTTGGAAATTATGGGATTTCAAAACCTGATAAATTATTTGTAATAACTATATAGATATGCTTTTTAATAGATAAAATATTGCTTCAATAATTTGTCAGGTACTTCAAATTTTTCTTAAAGTCTGTAATTCGGGAAACTTTTAGCATGGTGATATATTAAACATTTAACTTTAAATAATATATCATTGGTTTACAAATTAAAATATGTCAAACTTTTTTTTTTAATTTGGAAACATCTGTTATATTGCAAATAGCAAGAAAATAAAATCTTGTCTTGAATACTATAATTTTTTTTTTTTTTTTTTCTTTAGAAGTATTATCTTATCATTGTATTATAACAATACATTAACAAATCTTGTATTCATTTAGACAACTGTGGGTGAAGAAAATTGAACTGGCAGCTAAAAATTACTGTGAAATTGAGAAGAAAAATCTTAGCCGCCAAAAGACAAGTTAATATTTATAATTTCTATTTGCAAAATTACATTATGATTTTCAAATTAAACCTTTTTTAATTATTATTACTATTATTATTTTATTTCTAACAGTTAGAGCTCAAGCAATTCAAGGAGTAGGTCGACTTCTAATTGTTGTGGTAGAAGGTATAAATCTGAAAGCATGTTCTAATGGTAAGTTTATACAGTTAAATTTTATTCAGAACAAATATTTGGTAATAGTTGGATAATTTTTTTTATCTAAATGTACTGAGTAATAATATTTTCACATATTTAACTTTAGGACAAAGTAACCCATACTGTGAAGTAAGTATGGGTTCGCAGGAACACAAAACCAAGGTAATTCCAAATACTTTGAATCCCAGATGGAATGAATCTATGCAGTTTGTGGTGAAAAATCTCCATGAAGATGTTCTTTGCATATCAGTTTTTGACAGAGATTTATTTTCACCAAATGGTTAGTGCAAATATAAATATTTGTAAGATACTTTTTTTTTTTAATCTGAAAGTCTTAGCACAGCAAAATAAATGTAAATAATTTTTATTATTTTTTCCTCTTTATAATATATTCTTGGGTTATATAAATTTTAGTCTTAAAAATTTTTGAGACTGTATGTGTTTATGGTACAAACATTCAGGAAAATGTAGCATAATAAATAATTACATTTTGTATGTTATAAATGTTTTCAGAATAATTTCATTATGCTACTGCAAATATAAATATAAGAATATAAATAATATAATAATATAAAGGTATGCTCTTAAGAATGCTATAAAAAATAATACAGAATTTTTGAAAAATGTCATATAAAATACTCATTATGAGTTTTCATGGAAAATTGTCACTTATGTTAGTTACTAAGTCAATTACAAAAGCTATAATTCAAAATAAGCCACTCTGAAAAAGACTGCTGAAATAATGACATAATTCAGATCAGCATTTCTGAATGGTGACTACATAATTTCCAATATATGTAATGAATTTAAGTTTCATATGTATGAAGAATTTGATTAGTGACGACCTATAAAAGAAGGATGAAAAACTAATTATGAACTGTCGTGATTTTTAAAATTACAAATGGCAAATTAAAGTAGAAATGATCTCATCAAATGCACCAACAGCTGCACTGCTGTAGAATACTCTGAAAAGTCATTTTTTCATCTATTAATACTCACCAAACAATCTATAAATGCTAGTCAAAATTATAATAGAGTAGTAGCAACCATTACTGTCAAAATTTCCAAGTAAACTGGTTGGAAGCATAATAGAAATGCAGGTGTTGTTGTAGCCAAAATCAAGTAATGGATTTTGAATTAGTAGAACTCAAAAAGAAATTATCTTTCTAATTTTTACTGACTGCAATGCAAGAAACTGCAGCAATCACATTTGTGGTTCTGCTATTGTAGTATGTATCTGTTGGTGATATTATTAATAGGCTGCTAGGGGGAGGACTGATATACCAGCTTAATTTAAAACACAACAATAAGTCACAAACTGCTGTATTGCATTGCAGTAAAAGTATAATCAGCAGATATAAATATTACCTTGTCCCATGTGTATTCATTACTTTCATTCCAATGTATTAGGATTTTGTATTAGTAGAACTCAAAAAGAAATTGTCTTTCTAATTTTTACCCACTGCAATGCAAAAATCTGCAGCAATCGCATTTTTGGTTCTGTTACTGTCATATGTAGCTGTGGTGGTACTATTAATAATATACTATTAATAGAGAAGACATCCCAAATTGGTAGTAAGTAAAAAATAATTCTGGGCTCAGGCTTCCTGCATACAGGTTCATTATACCGAAACACAGTATCTGCTCATAGCATTCCTCTTATTTTGTTTTAATGCATTTTTTCCCTTCATTTTATAAAGAACTATTGGAGTTTCTTGTTGTGGCAATGAATGCCTGTGCATATCAGTTGTTCAGACTGTTTTTTAGTTTCCATACTGACAAACTTAGCTCCATTAGGGACTAAATGCTTTAGGTTAGGTTATTTGAATATTGCAAAGAACAAAGAGACTATCTGCCTAAGGAGAGAGGTACCTTCTTGGGGGACTCTTTAAGGAAAACTGGCTCATATTCACATTATACATATGAAAATGTATGAAAATTAACCATACAATCAGCTTTTTGACTTGGGATCAAACCTAGGGTTGAACAAACAACATTCAGTGATCTTAACTACTTGGCCATTGGTTAGATCACAAAGGTTAAAGCCACTGAATATTGGTAGTTTGACTCAGGTTCGAATCCAGGCAAATGGACTTGGTTGTCCATTTGCCTGGATTCAAAAGACAGAATAAAGGACTCTTTTTCCCCAAACGGATTATAAAACTGATTTAAAATGGATTCAGAAGAGATTTTTTAGAGGGCGTCTGTAAGTATGTATCTCGCATAACTCAAAAACGAATAGCCTCAGATGGCTGAAATTTTGTATGTAGGACTGCTATAACATGTAGATGTGCATCTCCCTTTTTGGGTTGCATATAAAAAATATATGTATATATATATCAACTCTGTTACTCAGCTCAATGAGCTCAGTTTCTTTATTCTTATATTATACGTGTAGATTGGTTTTTCCCATATGTAATATGAATAAAAGCCAGTTTCCCTTAGAAAGTCCTCTACAAAAGCATTCTTCCCCTTAGCCAGACAGCCCTTATGTGCTTTGCTGTATTCAGTTACTTAACTGACAAATTTAACTAGCATTTCATTACCTATCACAGCTTAAAATACATAATCCCTGTCATTGTCTTAATGATATACAAAAATCATAGCTAAATGGCATTCCATTTTTTTAGCTTCAATGAGCATTTTAATATCCAAATTGCATAATTTGTGGTAGCCATGTTTGTTTATGACCTATCCCAGTAAAACCATTAAAAATATTATAAGAAATTTCCTAGTGAAATTCAGAAATAATGAAATGAAATCAATCATGAACTCATATGTGAGTTTGATACATTGAATTGTTAATAGCAATACATAGTGTTCTTGGCATTGTTCATCATACCTGTCTATTTTGGCTCTGTATTTCATTTGTACTGTGGCTGTCAGTTTTCAAATAAAAACATCATTCCATAACTTTCACAATGATAACATTCAGTTTTCCATGTTCATGGCATGAAACTAAAATAAGATATGCATACTATGGTCAGCTGTATTTATGCATTTCTGATAGACATATCTTACTCAAATGTACCATCAGCTGATAAAATCTGCACAAACATAGCAAATTTCTGTTATTCAATGTCCACTAAAAAATTCTTTCACTTTTACAAATTATACTTAACATTTGAATGCCAGTATATTTATCATAATATATCACTTAATTATTGTGGAATCACATGCTATTTTGAATGTTTTTCTGCATATAACATAAAAAATTTTTTAATTATTTGAACCTTTTGCACAGTAAGATTTTCTTTAGAATAATTATGACTATTGTGACATTTTTGGCCTCTTGTTTAGTACTAATGTAAATACTTAATCCCTCTCATTATCATTATTATTTGTAATATGATACCTTTCATCATTAGACTTAAAAATGCAATGGTAACTAAAACTGCTATCAGATGGTTTCACATGTTACACATTCATATATTTCGCATGCCAACTTTCCAGTTTGCACTTTTCCACATTATTTTCATGTTTAATATTAACATTATTTTCATGTTTCTCTTTGATAATGAACAACATGGAGATAAGCTATGAAGTGAGACATACAGTATTTGAACATATTTCTATTAACATGCAGTTGTAAATTGGCAGATTTATTACTTCTTGTGAATTTCTTGGTGTTCAGCCTTTCACAGTATTCGAATTAACTGATGTTATATTTTAAGGACAAAAATACCTAGTTGAAAAACTGCATTCATAAGGCCATTTTAAAATTTTTGTATGTGTTATCTTACATTTGGTTTTGACTCTCATTCTGTGTGCAAGATTTTTTTACAAAGAAGGCTTGAAATAAATGTAAATAATATTGTGAAATAAACCATTATTTATTATTCCTAGACATTATTTTTTTTAATGTTTACTGGGCAAAAAATATTTTGCAATACTTGTATCAACACATACAATGGCTCCCAAAAGTGTTCGTACACTTATGATTTTCATTGAAATAGAGCTCTATCCATTAATTAAAAGTAAACTTTCTGAATGAGATTTTAATAATAAGATCTATAATCTGTTCGTAACAAAATTACATGAAATATTTTTAAAATATAGCGAAACATTATTTTAAAGAAATTAATAATAAAAAAATGACAAACATTTTATCTCACAAAAGTCTTCGTACACTGAAATATTTTTGGGCAAAATCAAAATTAGAATTATCATTTGCTGCTTTTTTTAATTTTTGCATTGTTGTGGCATTTAAAAAATCACTTGTTTTAAGTTTTTATTGTTTACTTCATAATATTCTATTTATTATTGAAAAATGGGTCGCAGTTGTAAAGAAATTATAAACAGCATTCGAAAATTGATAATTTTTCACCATAGTAGTGGTAAATCAATTCGAAATATCGCCAAATTAGTTAATTTATCCCATTCTACAGTGCAGTATGTTATAAAACACTTTAAAGAAGAAAATCGGATTGAAAACAAGGTAAGAAAAGGTCAAACGAGAAAGTTAACTAAACATTATAAGAGATTAATTATTAGAGAATTTGTGAAAAACCCACATTTGAGTGCTGTAAAAGTTTCTGCAGAATTTAATGCAAAGTTTTCTACTTCAATTTCACCTGAAACTGTTTGACGAGTTCTCAGAGAAGCTGGATTACATGAGCGTTCTGCGTGTAAAAATTTTTTTGTTAGTGAAAAAAACAGAAATCTTAGGCTTTCATTCGCAAAATCAATGATAAATACACCCAAAATGTACTGGAATAATGTCCTATTTGCTGATGAAAGCAAATTTAACATTTTTGGTTCCGATGGTCGAATAACTGTATGGAGAAGAAAAAATTAGGAACTTCATTCTTTGAATTTAGTTGGAACAGTAAAGCATGGCGATGGAGGTGTTCTTATGTGGGGGTACATGGCAGCACTAGGACAAGGTAATATGGTATTTATTGTTGGCGTAATGAATCATTCTCTTTATTTAAGTATTTTAAGAGATGATTTAAAATTATCAGCCCAAAATTTGGGTATTGGAAACAACTTTATTTTTAATCATGATAACGATCCTAAGCATACGGCTCTCAACATTCGCCTATGGTGTCTCTATAATTTTCCACAGGTTTTGAAAACACCACCTCAGTCGCCAGATTTAAACCCCATAGAACACATTTGGAAAGAACTGGAGGTTAGAGTACGAAAACATGACATCAAAACGAAAAGCGAACTTAAAACAGTCATGATGGAAGAATGGATGAACATTGATACAGAAATTACAAAAAAAAAAAAAAAAAAAAAAAAATCTATTCTCAGAACATTAAAAAGCTGCTGTAGATGCTAAAGGATATTCTACTAAATGTTAATTTAACGAAAAATGAAAATATTTACTAATATGTCAAGATTTTTTTACAAAGACTTTTGCAAGATAAAATGTTTGTCATTTTTTTATTATTAATTTCTTAAAAATAAAGTTTTGCTGTCTTTTAAACATATTTCATGTAATTTTGTTACGAATAGATTATAGATCTTATTATTAAAATATCATTCAGAAAGTTTCCTTTAATTAATGGATAGAGCTCTGTTTCAATGAAAATCATAAGTGTACGAACACTTTTGGGAGCCACTGCATTTTAACTTGGCCATTGTATATTATAGCATAATTTTTCTTATCATAAAGCAAATGATTAAACACAGTGAAATAGTAATACGTTCTTTTGTTAATTTAGTATACTTTTATACTTTTCAGCCAAAGGGGTAATCCCTTTAGGCTAAAAAGTGTAAAAGATCCTTACCTAGAGCCATAAAATTTTGAATAATGTAGTCCTCCATCCACATAAGGACACTGAACCTTGATTTTCGAATTTGTTTTATTATAGATTTCATATATTTTAAACTATAAGCATTTTTTTTTTATTAAGAAACTCAAAAATTTCAAAGTGAGCAGTGGCAACACACTGTATGGAAAAAAATATACTTATCTCCAGCTCATGAGAATGTCTATTCAGAAATTCTAGAGATACTTTGTTTTTAAGTACTTTTATTCCAAAGGAACTCAAAACATATTGGATTTGTAAACATAAATGGAAAAAGGCGCCCTTTGGGGCATAATATAAAATCTGAAAGGTTTTCTGATTTTAATAATTTTTGTAGATTTTATATGTATTAAAAATACTTTTATTACTTTAGAATACTTTAGAATACATTATATATTTTTATTACTTTAGAATACATTATATCATATATTCATGATAATGTTATAAATATACAAGTAACTGCTTTATGTGCCATTTAAAAAAATGTAGTTAGGTTTGGTAGAGTATGGCAAAGCACACTAGAGGGCTATCTGCCTAAGGGAAGAGATGCCTTCGTGAAGAACCTTTCTAAGGGAAACCATCTCCTATACATGTTACATACGGAAAAAATCGTGAAAACACCTATGCAGCCATCAGTAATTTTACCACTCAATTGCTAGTTTGTTTTTAAAAAAATGCTGCTCTTTTTACTTCCTTGTATAAAGTAAAGGAAGTATTATTATCATGAAAAATTCCACGTACCATATTTCAATGAAAATATCCATTTTGATCGCTATTGAATGCAATTTAACGATGTTTTAGGATATCTCTATGCAAAGACAGAATAAAGGACTCTTTCCCCAAACGGATTATAAAACTGATTTAAAATGGATTCAGAAGAGATTTTTTGGAGAGGCATCTGTACGTATTTATCCTGCATAACTCAAAAACGAATAGCCTCAGATAGCTGAAATTTTTTATGTAGAACTGCTATAACATGTAGATGTGCATCTCCCTTTTTGGTTGCATATAAAAAATATATGTGTATATATATATATATATATATCAGCTCTGTTACTCAGCTCAGCTCAATTTCTTTATTCTTATATGTTTGCAAATTGTGTATTTTTTGCTTAAAAATGATTGAATTATGTTGCGGTTAAGGTTTTTATGCCTTAAGTTAACCTGCATGTTATAGTTGTAGAATTATCAACAATTTAAGAGTTGTTTAAGTGCGACTAAGCTTAATTTTTTTTTTACCATAGCAGCCATAGTTGTTTACATTTGAGACTTAACAGAATAGTGGATTTGTTGCTAGTCTAGAAAAACTAATCTTCGCAACAACAAAGTAACGCCTTCTTTTATTATTGCGATTAAATTATGCTTAATCCATTTTGGAATTATCACTTAAGTTATTCAATTATCCCATATATTGACTTAGCATAGTGTCCACAACAAATTAAGTCAGTTTCTATGCCTTCAGTGTCTTTTTGCCGAGTGAGACCAAAAGTAAACTTTCAGTTTTGTGCATCAAAAAATCTGCTATCTTGCCCGCTGACCCAATTGCTTGTTTTTGCATAGAAACTGTAATCTTAATTGTAAAGAAAAAAAAATTTAATTGTTTTAACTGCAGTTGGTGTTTCATGTTTTTCTATATTTTTGAATTTTTATTGGAAATATTTTGAGTTTTTATGTATTTGTGCCTTGTCACTAAGTGAGAACTGAATTAGTTGATTGAGAAATATATCCCTAATGAAATTCGAGGAAATAAGTTTAAATGAAATGCTGGGAAATATGTGTATAATTTAATATTCCATACAAGGAAGTCATGTGGTGTACACATCATTTTTTTTTTTTTTTTTTTTTTTTTTTTTTTTTATGAAAAATTGTACCACCTTACTGTATTTCTAAATATTTTTTTCCCCTTGTAAAGAATTCCTTGGAAGAACTGAAATAAAATTATCGGACATATATAAGGAGACTAGAGAAACTCATGAACCAGTAGTTAGAAGTTTGACCTTATATGAAGTGGAAACTGGAGAAGTAATGATTAAATTTGATCTTCAGTTATTTGAAGAGTACTAGCTCTTAAAAATTCATTATAATTTTTATTTAAGCTAAATTTAGATTTAAATTATTATTCTCACATTTGATCATTCATTATGTGTTGATTTTCTATGTCTGAGAATTCGGCAATCTAAATATCATATCCTTTCATACTGTACACCTGTCTAACCAAATGAATATTAATGTGATTAATAAAAAATCATTTTTGTTTTCATTTTATTAATTAGAAGAATATTGTTAAGTATCAATTTTTGTATTGAAAAATGTAAATACAGATAATTTACAAATAATATGAGTTGCTGTTGGTAAATTTTAAGAATTTTCTGTTGTAGGGGCAAAAACTGATATGTTTTCATTTCATACTGTGAATATTGTGTATGTAATTCGTATGATCAATTTGAAAAACAACTGTATTTCAAATAAATACCACATAGTATATATGTAGTGTGTATCTTCTTCATAATCATATACTATTTTTCATACAATATTATCTTCATCCTAAAGTGTTTGTATATTGTAAATTAATATAACCAAAGATTAACAATGTTGACATTTGAAACACTAGAACTGCTATGTTTGACTTGTAATTTTTATCCAAAGAAGGAGAAAATTGGTGAAAGTTTTTAAGTTTCTACAATGTAAATTATTAGACTCTCATTTAAATAAATATTTTCATATTTTGTCTTTCATATTATACTGTTATAATACATTCCATATTGATTTAAAAATATCTCAGTTTAAGAATTTGTCAAATTTTGTTGATGGAAATATGTATTTCTCATTTTCCTTTGTGTGTGTAGTTCTGTAATTAATGTTTTTCTTATAGTTGACATCTGTAATTAATGTTAACTTATAACTGACATAAAAACTTGGTTTTAATATATGATAATAGTAACTAAACAAATTATTATTAAAATATAATATTTCAGTAATTTGAATATTTAAAGATTTATATAATTATCATACATGTGCATATATCTGTAATCTAAATATTTATGTAATATGTAGTAATCACATTCCATGTTTTAGTATTTATATATAGTTGCTTAAGCATAAACATTTACAATTTTTAAATTCATTTAAACTATTTGAAAAAAAATATGAGCGCAGCTATTACTTGTATTTTCATGATTTTTTTTAAGCAAAAGTTAGTGAAATCAGTATTAGAGTTAGATACAATTTTAAATTAAAATGCTAGCTGTATAGAAAATGCTAGCTAGCTAATTGTGATAAGCTTTCTTTCTCTCTGTGGTTGTCTACCTAAGGATTCTCCTGTATGTCTTGATGATGATTTTTAAGTTAAACGCATTTCACTTACATTACATATAAACTACACATACATATATGTAAGGAATTATTGCATCCTTCCATGCATTCTCTTATTGCATAAGTAGTTAGCACATTCAGTTAATAATAAAAGCATCTGTGGCTCAAATCCTAGTTAGGGCACAGTTTACTTTCCATGTTTTTTGGTAGGAAAATCTTAATAGCCGACTAAAAATATGGTAGAAAAAAACTCCTAACCATTTGGATTTGATTGACTAGATCTGTCACTTCCTACAAGTCACTCTTTAAGCGTGGAAGAATGTAGAAAATTATCGCCTTTCATTATACTATCATAGTGTAAACAGTTAACATATTCAGCTAGCAATTGGAAAACCCATAGTTCAAATCCCGGTGGAAGCATGTTGATTTTTCATGTGTCATTTTGTGAAAATTCTCTCTAGTCTCTCTCTCTCTCTCTGTATACATATAAAAAGGATACATCCAGTCTCTTCATGCACCAATCACAGAGGCAAATTAATTGTAGTGTAAAACTTGAATCACTTCATCATTGACAGGTCATACAATTAAAGGTACACTTATTGCTTATAAGGCATGCTATTCTTTGTTATGCAAATGACATCTTCTTCCTGGTTATTTAAACACATTTTCATCTAAGGGGTAGTTCTAATTCAACTAGTCGTTACAAATGGATTTTGGAGTTTCATCTGTATAATTATTCATTCAGTACTGCATAACTTTACTATCACATTGTTTCGCTCATCTTGACATTCATCCTACTGTGATAAAAAGTACCCTACTCACATTTCTTCTCAAGTGATTAGCAATCACATTTCATCATAGTTTGATGATTCTGTCCTTATCTGCACTAGACCAACAAGTTTTCTCTTATCCTAAAATATTAATTCATGTGACCTACAAATTCATAATTTTGATCATTTGTATATCTTTGTGCTGAGCTGTAAATTGTATAAAACTTTGTACATTTTTCTTCTTTGATGTTGTGATTAACTCCTAAGTGTATAAAAGTCTAAAAAAATAGCATTTCAATTTTTGTAATTTTTAAGATTATATATATATATATGTATGTGTGTGTAAATGTTCAGAACGTTAGGAAAAGTTAGCTGACGTACCCTCTCTTGTGTGGCTTACTTTTAATATGCATATATATAGGATTTTGGAATTGGCAAATTGCATAGAAAATATATACTATATCAATAAAAGTCTTTACCTAGCCTTTATTTTTGCAGCCGTTTGTCTTGTTTTCGCATTTTTTAATTTAAAGATATTATTTTTTAAAAATTACGAAATCTAACTTTTTAAATGTTATATTTAGAGAACTCTGTACTCTTTATAAAAAGTAAAACACAAGAAGTCTGACTCCTGTACAACTTGCATTAAATAAAAAATGAAAAATATTTGTGCTTTAATGAATTTTTTATAATTACCCGATTATGTTCTAAAGTAATAAATAATAACAAAATTATAAATATAGACATTAGTAAATAAAATAAAATCATTCCATTGTCATTTACTGGGGAGGAATCCATTTCGAATTATCATAATTTACTTATTAACTGACGTCTCAATGCAAATTCAAAACTACCACAAAATTTTGTAAATATCTTTGTCAATTTGTGTCATGCAGGAGTCAAACTACTTGATTTTCTATAACAAGTATGGTTGGAGGAACATGTAAAAAATTAGATTTTGTACTCTATATAAAATTAATTTTTTAAAATATGAAGACATGAAGCTCTGCATCATGTAAAATATTTTTGTGACTGAAAGTATATATCTACGGCCAGTGGTTGCGAAAATAAAGGCCACATAAGGACCTTAGTCAACATGGCATATAAACATTAGAGTTGTCATGTCATTTTCAGAAGATACAATCAATATTTTTATATCATTGGACAAAGTACAGTTTTAGTAATATTAGAGAGAAGTCTGGCTTGGCATGTTTTGGTAGAAATATTGAAGCCATCCTGCAGAGAAGGATAGTTTGCAATGACGATAGCTTCATGTTCAATTCTAGATTGAACATGTTGATCTGGGATAATCTTTGCAGAATGTGAGCATTTAAAATTTGTCAACAGAAAAGGTCTGTCGAAAGGTTGATTGTAGTACTATAAGAAGTATGCAAGAATAAGATGATAATTGAGATTGAATTGGATAAAGAATCATTCTGTCACCTCTGGTAGTCAAGGTTTCAGGCCAGTAACAGGCATATTCCTGAGCCATTTGTGATTATTGATGAAACCGTCCATTATGTAGTATTATGCCGAGACACAAAATAAATAGTAACAACAACAAAAGTATTTATATTGATCTTAGTAGAATTTCTGAAAATCACATACATTTCCAATCAAATTCGGATTAGATTACTTATTCATTAGGATGGTTAAAGCCCTCGACCATCTTCCTAAGAGGAGGGATAACTTCGTGGAGAACTTTCCAAGGGAAACTAGTTCCATATGCATGTTACACATGAGGAAAACAATGAAAATGACCAGGCAGCTAGCCTGTTGCCAGAATTTGAACTCTGGACCAAATTACCAGTGTTCAGAGACTTTACCACTTGGCTGCTGATGGGCAATTATAAGAAATATCTACTTAAGAGAAAGGATGATTTCAGATAGACTTTGCTAAGCTAGGGAATATTCTGAGATACACTTTATTAAAACAAAAAGGGTGAAATTTTACTTTTAAAGCATTTAAGAATTATAAAAAACGGAAATATATTGTGAAATAATGTAATTTTTTTTGGCCAAAAAAATGCCAAAAGAAAATAGTCGTCTGCTTCTTGACATGTATGAGAAAAGAAAATTGTCTTTTGCAAATAAGGGATACTGCAGATGATTTTAAGTTAAAAAAAAAAAACACTAGTGTTTCTGCAATTAAAAGCTTGCTACAGGTATTTTTCAGATTTTATTGGATCCATAATAAGAATCTCATACTTGTGACTTTTTCTAAATTAGATATTCTTTTATGAGATATGAATTTGTGTGAAATATTTCATATGTCCAAAGACAAGAAACTTAGGCTTTCTGATCTCTTTCATTGTGTCTAACAAAAGATATTTCAATTCAGATTTTTATTTACTTCTCAAATTCTTATAAACAGAATACTTAAATGTTCTACTGTTATTAATAGTTCAGCAAATCATTATATTTATGAAATTTCGATTCACATTGGCATATTAACATAATCATTAATTTAAAGCCCATGCACATATTATATCCATAACATATTAGAATAAATTTTTTATTTGTGTGATATAATAGAATTCACTCTTATTTATTGTTGTGAATGTTTTCACATTAAATTAAATTAGATCTCTTTATTTAATTATTGTTTTGCAAGTTAATGTGAGGATAAATCAAAACAAACACACACACACACACCCAAAAAAAAGGAGGGGAGGAAAGTCTACCTTAAAAAAGACAATCTGACTGACAGAACGATCAATTTTTTTTTTTTTTTTTTTTTTTTTTTTTTGTTTTGTTTTGTTTTGTTACCTTCTAAAGCAGAAAAAACTCTTTTATAAAAGAATATTTAATAGGAAAAATATCAAACCATAATGTGCCAAAAAAAATTTTAATTATTGAGTTCATTGCAAAAAAATACCGTTTTCTGAAATGATTACTGAATTATGTGTAAATATTTCTACTATAATTATATATAAACTCTTGCATTTTTCTAAGCTTTTTACTTCCTGTACGTAGTAAAGTAAATCAAGTATATACATTATAATATATATTCTAGAATATATTATAATCTATACTCTGTAAATGGTAATTTTTGTAAAAAGGTTTGAATTGAGTAACATATTATTTTTAAAATATATTTCACATTTATTTATACCTTATAATTTGATTCATAATCCCATTTGGAAAAAATTATTACCATAATTATTAATGCAGGGCATCTGATCACCAGTGATCTTGAGTTTTCAGTATTGAATTTCAGTCTCTTTTGTTTTCTTCCATGAGCAAAGAAAGAAACAAAAAAGTATGATTGAGAAAGAGAAATCTAATAAAGTAAAAAAGTAAAGGAATTGTAGTATTTATGTGCAACTGCAATTTAAAAACCTGTATATATGTATAAAAAATAATTAAATTATGCACACTAATAATATTCCAATCAATTATATTTAGCGTAACAAAATTTTGAATCTCAGTACTATTCATATACGTATAAGTGTTTCAATATTATTTCTTATATAAATTATGAATGTGCTTTTATCTGCTATTTCACCTCTACATTATTTTTGCACTGAAATTATGTATAATTAATGTAATGACTGCTAATTATCATATGCATTTATTTTTACCATGTTCCTTGTACTGTTACTTCCATTATTTCAGGGAACACATGTATATTCTCTTTCAGTATGCAAATAAAAAAAATTGAAAATTCTGACTCTTATCTGTCTTCTAAATATAATATACAGTTTAACAAATATTTTGTGAATTAAGAAAAATGCGATTATCGTGAAAGTTTCCCAGTCTTTTTTTAGCATATTGTTCCCTCTTCGGTCGTTTTTAACTAAATATGCAGTTGTACTACTTTGGATTATTAATTAACCTCTTTGCTTCCACTTCAGGGAGAAAAATTTCCATGCAGGCCCATGACCTTGCAGCTCTGAATGTCACTGTAGGCTTTAGTGCACATTGCCATTAAGCATAAAATTATTAAAATGTTTTATTGAAATATTTGGATTCTAGCATATATTATTTAAATGTCATTGTATGTAAAAACAAAAAATTCTAATATTTGCAATAAAAATTTAAAATAGAATGAAATGTAATAATAGTAATAATGACTACATTTAAAAATTAGTTCCATAAAATAAAGAAATAGAAAACTTAAAAATGTAAATAGCTATTGCATTTTATTGCTACACTTATGTATAAAAAATTTAAGCTACTTTCACTTTGTGATGTATTTCTATACTCTGAATACATTGTAATCATATTACATTTATATTTACAGAATAAGTGAAATAAATAATACTCATAACAAAAAGGTTAAGACTTAAGAGACTCCATTCAGTTAAGTATCATGGCATTCTGACATCTTTTATGCATTTTTTTACTTTACTTTTTTTAAGCTGGGCCACCAGAGACACGTCACTTACATATCACATTTCATACACTGACCTACAGAAGGAAACTGAAGCATATCATATATATGTTCATAGTGACCAGGCTACTGCTCATAATGAAATTAAAAGACAACTGGTTATAGGTATGGTAATGAAGCTATAAAAAACATGCATAGATATCTGCACTGCATTATATGTTGAATCTGTAAGAACCTATACCAGTTGTACTTTTAAGAACTTGCATATCTGATATCATAACAAGTTGCTTTGTGACTTATCTCATTTATCTGATACTAACATCAGAACATGCCCAAGAAATCTATTGTGGCAAGGAGAGAAAAACTGTACCTGTCGTTGGCAAGAGCCTTGAGCATCATACAGGTGACAATACAACTTTGCTCAGTTCCGCCCCCAATTTTGATGGAGAGCCTCCAGGAGAGACAGGTCCAAAGGTCTCCCATCTCTCTTCCCCTAACACTAACCTGTTTAGAGGACTTTTGGCTCACCATATATTTAGAGTGCCCCCATGCTGCAAAGACACTGTAGACTATACATTTACAAACATCGATGGCTTCTAGCATCCTCCCTCACATGTAGTAAAGGAGAGAACTTGAACACTTAATTTCTTGCAGTAGTAAGTGAAGTGTTAGATTCACCATGCATCGGTCTCGCAATACCAGCTGACTTTCCACTGAACTAGAATATGTAACACTAATTTGGATTCCAACCTGTGATTACTCAAATAGGCTCTCCTAACCACTATACCATCTGGGCGGCTTGTTACAAGCACAGACTTGTGGTTTTATTTTTTAAATATAGGGCTGATAGGTTATATTTTTGGGAGGAGAAATGACTTTAAATTTTGGATTAACATCTATAAAGGGATAATTGATGCCTTATGTTTGCATCAACCAAAAAAAAAATTATTTAGGCAACCAAATTTTTTAAGCATTTTCTTACTGCCATTAGGTCCCATGAGAATATTATCATATTTTATTACTTGAAAAGAAACTGAGGAAAATTCAAATTTTTATGGGAAATATAATGCAAAAATATTACTTTTATGCATGTATAATATTTTACCATAGTAGGGAAGATTGTAAAGTCACCATTCTATACAGATGTGTGTTAATGCAAGGATAAAGATGACTGCTTTTACATCTACTACTTTAATTAGATCCGAAAATATATTTATTTAGCACATATACAATAATAACAAAAATATATGTATAGATGCGAGTCGCAGGACACAATCACAAGAGTAATCACAGGTTGGAATCCAAATTAGTGTTACATATTCTAGTTTGGTGGAAAGTCAGCTGGTATTGCAAGACCGATGCATGGTGAATCTAACACTTCACTTACTACTGCAAGAAATTAAGACTCAAGTTCTCTCCCTTACTACATGGGAGGGAGGATGTTAGAAGCACCATCTCTTGGATCTGGCTGCTACGTTAAGAGTTTCTGCACACAATCCCCCCTCGAGTGTCGAAAGCACGAAAAAGTCACAATTATCTAGTGTTAGATAAGCACAAATGGCTTCTTCCCGAGCATGCGACCAGCAACAGAGCACTGGGAAGAAGCTGAAAATCAAGCAAAGCAGAAGGCTCAGAAGATCTGTAGCTCCCAAGAATGCAAGCTTGAGCCAATTTATTCCAGAGTCCTTTCATCCACGTTAATGGTGAAATGTTCGCTGTTGCATGCAGACTTTGAAGGGACTGTCATACAGAGGCACAAGCGAAGGCTTTACTGCATCGTTATGTATAAAAACACGAGTACAAATTCTCAATGCAGGACATACAAACAAAGCTGATGTGTTGTGACATGATATAGAAGTCGGAGACAGCACTTTCATTGCTTCTCCAAAAGTCTAGAGAAAGGACAACTGGAGCAGAGGATGGTTGAAAGATAGTAGAGGAAATGTAATGCCATAAACAAACTCGGCAAATGTACCTTGGAGATCTTGCTTGAAGGAAGACCAAGGAACACAAAAGGAAGCGATGTAGTCCAACAAGTATTATTATGATACTTGAGGCCTGCTTTTAGGTTACAGTGCAAAAGTTCCACCAAGACATCGAAAGCGGTTCCCCCCCCCTAGAATCAAGTGGTGTGTCATGTCGATGTTTTTTAAAAGTGTCACGCATTATTTGGAGGTCTGGGGCACGTTGTAATGACTGGAAGTTTGGTGAGCAGTTTGTGTCTTCACTGATACATTTCATCTCATGATCTGTGGCTTGCGAGTGAACAGTAAGAGTGAAATTCAATGCAGCATTCTTATCAATGTTTTGAATGCTTGTGAGAGTATCTGCCATGGCATTGCTGGAACCAGACATATGCCAGATGTCCATGTTAAACTCAGCAATGTAATTGAAATGCTTAATTTTTCGCGATTAAGCAAAACTTGGCTTTGAATTGAATGCATAGGTTACAGGTCTATGGTCAGTATATATACAGTGAAATGTTGATCTTCATGATTATGTCTGAAATATTCTATAGCTGCGTAAATGGAGAGTACCTCAATGTCATAAGTGCTTATTTTTGTTCAGTGGAAGAGAGCTTTTGATAGAAAAATGCTGAAGGCTGGTAGCTGTTGATGTGTCGAACATTTAATATAACTCCGACAGAAGCGTTGACCATAATACTCAGCTTTCACCTAGGAGAATGATAACTAACAGTTGCAGCATTAATAAAAGTCATGCTTACATTTTTCAAAAGCTTAATTATGTTGCTCATTTTAAGGGATGAGTGTGTATAATTTTTCTTCAAATTTTTTTAAGAGGCCATGCAAAGGAACTTGGTCTCACTTGCCTTTGGTAATGTAATGGCAGCTGGTCAAAATATAAGGTATACAAAGTGGACATGAATTAGATATATATCCAGTAGTACACCATAACATCAATATGGGTGTTGAGCTGATATAGCTTTCAATATTCAACCTATGCTTGGTGACTCCACATATCTATATGATCATCAAGATGCCATAAGCAAAAATGGATTCATTAGAAAAGAAAATGTCATGTCGCTGATAAATCTAAGTGTGCCACTGAATACACCATTACAGATGGTGAATTCTATGTTTAGAACAAAAAAAAAAAAAAAAAAAAAAAAAACACCAGATTTCCTGACCCACAAAATAGAATATGGCTGCATTATACCTAATAGCAATGTAGACAGAATATCACATCTCGAGCATTAATAAATGGGAGTTAAGATACCCCACATTGCTTTGCATTGCCTCCTACAGCTATTGATTACAAATGCTCACATCAATCAATAGATCTCAACCTATGCAAAAAGCAACTGCATGCTAAAATAATCCACAGTTCCAGTAGCCTGCAATTTTCCTACAATCAAATCTGGCCCATGCTGGTGTGAATTCCTTCTTCTTATGGCATAACATGTTTTCCAACACACACACAAAATGAGGAAGCATGATATCCAAATAAAAAATCAGCATTTCAATCTGCCTTTTTATATTCAAATTGTCATTATTCTTGTTTGTTATGCACACATCCTGTGAGATGCTAATATTAACATATTCTAGTACAGAAATTCCCAACCTTTTTCCACATTAGTCACTTTTAAAGGATGGTATTTTTTTCCAAATCAATCTCCTTACATAACACAAATAACTGCACATAAATAATTTAAGCATATTCTAACACAAGGAACATCAATCTCTAACCTATAATCATTAGCATATTGCAGTACAGGGATTCCCAACCTTTTTTTTTTTTTTTTTTTTCCATATCAGCCCCTTTTAAAATGATGTGAGTTCCCCCCCCCGATCCCCTTATATTTTTCTCTATAATACACAATATAATCATAATACAAATAACTGCACATAAATAATTTAAAGATAATAACTAAGAATATGAATGAAAGTTTTGAAAATAATGGCTTATTAGATTTACATCTTATTTTTTAACTTACAAATATAAACAAGTTTTCAGAAACAAAATAGCAAATTCTAAATGCATTAAAGTTAAATTTTAATTAATGCGATGGCTGTGCTTAATGCGCTTAAGCAATTTTTTTTTAATATTTGGCATAAAATTACTTAATTCTTAAACCACCTTGTTAAAAAATATTCAGTCTTTTTTTTTTTTTTTTTTTTTTTTTTTTTTTTTTTTGCAGTAAATGAACGATTTGACTAGAGACTGTTTCTACTAAAAAAAGAGGGAAAGGTCAATAATGTTGTTTGGTAATAACTTTTATTTGGTAATATTTCTATAAGATGACTTTTTAAATTCCAAAACTTAGTGTACACGTGTGTTTTGAAAAAGATTTACACTTCCTCCTTCAATCCAATCAACTCTTCTTACACTGTACTATCAAAATCAAATATGTCACATTTCAGCAATTCTATCAGCCATGCTGGTACATTAAAATTTTCAATGTTTTGGAAGTGAACATTAATTTTTTTTTTTTTTTAATTTTGCAAGCTGCTTGTATATAAAATTATTTCTGTGAAAGTTTTCCATTTTTCATAATTTTTTGGTTGCTTTATCTTGTGCTTTTGTATTTCACATTTTATACTGCACCTTTTGCATAAAAAATTCATATATATTTAAAAAGTATTATTGATTTAAAAAATAGTAATTTCCCTTGTATTTAATTTATAGGATTTCTTCCTTGCTACATGATATAGCTTTATATTAATAAACAATTAATTAAAAATTTACAATATTAATATAGTATGCTTTTTTCTCTAATCAATGGTTTCTTCATTTATGCCAATAAACCGTCCATGCATATTGCACTATCAATGCTTTGATCATTTTTTAGCTCCCTTAAACTTTCATCAGGCCCCGGAAGGTATGTTGAATACCCCTTCAAACATAACAATTTTCATTACAAGCACGTAGTTCAGATTTGGATTTCTTACAAGGTATTTCTTTCACCTTCTGAGCATGCCTTCGTGGTGTGGGGGTCTGCACGCTGGGAGCGTATTCCAGAGATCCGTGGTTCAATTCTCGGCGAAAGCATTGCTCGGCCTGCTCGAAATAACCTAATGTCTCTACAATCTCAAATTCATTAGAGATTAGATTCACTTAGATTTTTGAATTTTATGTATTAAAAAAAAAGTAAGCAACTATAAATGTTTCATATTCCTTTCAAAAAGTTTTAACTGATAAATTTGATTTATAATTACTGATAAATTTGATTTATAATTATAGACATGCTTTATAAATAAGTAATTAGCATAACATATTATTTTCCAACAAATGGCAATTTTATTAATCCTAATTTATTACACAATAATCGTTCTTAGACAGTGAATTGCTATTACAAAATTAGACCTATTATTTATTACTGTATAACTGAAGTTCATATCTTGCTTTTTCTGTCTGATAAAAATTCACATAAAGTAAAAAAGATATGCATGCTCTCTTAATAGAAATAACATCAACATCAGACCTGTAATGAATTTATTTCTATCAAAAATGAATAATTAAAATTTAGACAGTTGTTTTAATTTTAATAACTAACTTTTATTTTAAAATCACATAAGAAAAGGTAAAATTATACAAAGAATATCAATTTTCAATATAACTATCAAAAACAAACATTTCTAATGAATTAAGACAATTTAAATATTAGAAAATTACCCATGCAAATTATTCACAACATTTTCCTCCATTATTCTAAACTTTAATTTTAGCTGTAGCCTGCATATATTTTTAGTCTCTGTAGTTCTTCATAGATGAATATATTTTTACACAATTACTGTATTGGACCCAAATATAAGTCTCCCATTTTTTCAAATTTCAATTGTGAAAAATAAGTGTGTGGCTTATAATTGCAACCTTACAAAAATGACAGCATTTTGCCATATCGTATGGAATTAAAAATATGCTGATTTCTAATTTTCAAACAAAGTCACAACAGCATTTTAGAAACTGGCCACACTATTGAGATAAGTATGGGTAATGTTATCCAAAAACAGCATTGTCAAAAGTTAACAGAAAGCTATTAATGTATAGCAGAATTGTAACATATATTTTTTAAACTGTAGATACTGTTTTAGGAAAGTATCGTATTTATGATAAAATACTGGTATGTCTCTAACTACCACTAATTATATTTCCCTGAATCTGCTAGTAAATGATTTATTTCTCTTTTCTTCCTATCTTTTTTTTCTTCTTTATCTTTCTTTTCTTTTCAATATTTTCTTTTCTTCCCTCAGCCTATATTCAGAGATCATTTTTTTCCTTTTTCTTTTCTTCTAATGCTTCTTCATAATGGCTTAATCCTCAGCAATAGTTCAAAAGAAATGTGGTTTTTGGGTGAGACGGCTTAACTCATTATGGCAAATCTCACTAGGGCTATCTGCCTAAGGGAAGGAATGCCTTTATGGATAACTTTCTAAGGGAAATTAGTTTGTATACAAGTTACATATGGGGAAAATCACAAAAATGCCATGAAGCCAGCCTATTTGCCCAGAACTGAACCCAAGTAAGAACTATCAGTGTTTAGGAATTTTACTGTTTGGCCAATGGTGGGCTCGAAGAAACGTTACTTTATTACATTATACAAGCTATTTCTTGAAAAATATGTCAACTAAATATCAATGATACTTCAAGTAAGAAAATATCAGTTTGTATGCCTTTATGTAATGAGACCACATGTGTTACATCCATTGCAATTTTGACCTTGTTAATATTTTCAAGAAAAAACAAAAACCCATATTTAATTCTCCCTTACAAACTGGGAAATCTCATTAAAAATATTATAAAAATTAACAAAATAAGCATATAATAATGAATGCTTCACATAGCACATTCTCTGCAACAACGTTCTGGCAAACTTTCACACCACTGTTCTCCAGTTTTTAGCTAAATGCCATGACAACAATCATGCATGTCCCCATTTTTCAGATTTAACCCTGGCACATTATTTTCTTTTCCTTCTATTTTCACAAAATGTCAACTTTTAGAAATTAAATTACCAGAATTTCTAAATATATACAGTGGATGGACAAAAATATGGAAACACCTTGTGAAATGCATGTTTGAAAAAAAAGATTGATTTTAATGAAATATGTAGGTGGCGCTGGCGTTTTTGACTACTGACGCCACCTATACAACTTCGTAAATGTGCTAAACAGTTCAGTTGTTTGTTGGAGTACTGTTATGTGAGGTTGTCATTGCATTATGTCAGAGTTAACAGACTTCGAACGTGGGCAAATTGTTGGAGCACGTATGGTAGGTGCTTCCGTAAGCAGGTAGCCGAGGTGTGTTAGTGTTTCAAGAGGTTGGTACTGTATCGAAAATTTATTCCGCATATTTGAAAAGCGGAAAAACATCATCTGCTAAATCACAGTGCGGACGAAAGTGTGTCCTGAGTGATCGTGACAGACGATCATTAAGGGCAATTGTGACGAAAAATAAGAAGACCACAGCTGCAAAAGTTACTGCTGAAATGAATGTTTGTGTACCCAACCCTGTGAGTACCAAAACAATTAGAAGGGAGCTTCATAAACAGGGAATTGCTGGCCGTGCTGCAATTGAGAAGCCACTCATCAGTGATGCTAATGCCCGTAACAGGAAAAGGTGGTGTTTAAGTCATAAAGCCTGGACTATAGAGCAGTGTGGAAGCGAGTATATGGTCTGACGAGTCTTCTTTCACATTGTTTCCCACTTCTGGCCGAGTTAAGTTTCGTCTGGAAAACGCCATCTCAAGCCTATAATACAGACTGCTTGTTGCCAAGAGTGAAACATGGCGGGGGTTCTGTTATGGTTTGGGCAGCCATATCGTGGTTCTCTGCTAGTCCCATGATAATTGTGTCAGGGCACAAGACTTATGTGAACATTTTGGTCGATCAAGTTCATCCCATGGTACAAACTTTGTTCCCCGATGGTGATGGTGTCTTCCAAGACAACAAAGCCCCTGTTCACACAGCTCACATTGTCCAGGACTGGTTTTCTGAGCATGAGGATGAGTTATCTCATCTCCCCTGGCCACCACAGTCACCAGACCTGAATATAATCGAACCTTTGTGGTCTACACTGGAACGGAAAGTGCGTTCTCGTTATCCACCGCCAACATCGTTATCTGAACTTGCCACCGTTTTGCAGGAAGAATGGTATAATATTCCCTTGGCAAACATACGGCACTGTATTTACCCATTCCGAGAAGACTGCAAGCTGTTTTGGATGCCAACGGGTTTCCTACACCATATTAAGCAAAGAAACATGTTTTTTTAAAGGTGTTTCCATATTTTTGTCCAACCCCTGTATTTATTTATTTATTTATTGGAAGTATTCTTGGCAATCTGAAGGTATTAAGTCTGATCTCAGATGAAAGACGCTAATTTTCTAATTTCGAGCAAGCCATTCAACAAGTAGAGCAATTTATATCACATTTAAGGTAAAAACTGATCTAAAACACATTAACAAGATCCAAAGCTTTTTTATCATTGAAAGCTTTTAAAAAATAATACTGAAAAGTGGAACATTGCACTAAATTATACAAAAACATTAAAAGAACCTGTGTAAAATTTATTATGATTTATCACATAATTAAGTAAAAAGAAACAATTTCTGACAGTATCAAATACAGTTTTAAAATAAATGTTTGTATTTTACTCCCTTCCCCAAAATAATTATAAGTATTTCATAATTAATAAATATATTATTTATTTACATATCAGAAATAAGATATTATTCAAAAAATTCACACATGAATTATAAATATTGAATTACTTTATCTTAAAAATCAACATTTTACGTATTCTGCTCAAAATTTCTGATTAACAGCATAATTGAAAAATGAATTTTTTACAATTTTCAGTGATAAAATAATAAACTATGGAATGCAATATTTTATAATCTTCCCTGTAAAAATTAAAAACACTTTTTGATTCAATAGTTCAATAAAACAGCCACATTCTCAAATTCAACTAACTATAATGTTTTCAGGGTTTTTTTTAATGATATAATAAGACATATATCAACTAGACAATGGGAAACGATTTTCCTTTGGATGGCAAAAACATGTGTCAGATGAAGAGATTACTCTCTCTTTACTTGAATTATTTTCATTGGAGTGGCAAAAACAGAAGTCAGAAGAACAGATAAGGCTCTCTTTATGTGTTTGAGGTACATGACACATTTCACAAGAGTTAATTGCAGGATGATTCATAAATGTACATTCTTTACATTCCCATTTGTTCAACTCGTCATCTTCTTCATTACAATTTTCTTCACTTTTGCCATACCTATTTTCTAAAGGATGGTCAGAACCTTCACAGTAAGAAGAAAAGAACTTCATTTAAAATTTGTGCTGAATTGGAATGCTAAATAAATTAAATTTTTGCATAAAGTATTTGGATAGGAAGTGGAGTTTAATTTTGTACAAGGATTTTACATATCCTGTCTTTTTATAAAAAAGTACGGACAGATACCATACATTCTAAAAATATTTTCTAACTAGACTATGGTCTAAATTACATAATAAATTTTGCATCCGACATAAACTATTAGATTAATTTGAAAGTAATGCAGGATTTTAGTTTGCCAAAATTCAAGAATACTAAAGTGACTCTGTAATCGAATTTGTACAAACAGATATTGATACACTGTCTTACCTTTCCTGATGCCATTTAACAAACATTTTTTATTCACAGGTAAAGGATATCAGATAATAAGCTGTACATGCTCAATATCATGCTTTGCAAGTTTCTCCTGCATGAAAATGTTGCAAAAGTCAACATGAAATTTTTGTCACTGATATGCAGGTGCTATTAATAAATGTTACTGCCAAAGCTGGTTACATATATTCCACAGTGAACATTTTAATCTTTAGGCTAAACCTACAAGCTGAAGATAATGGAGGTGATCTGAAATGGTCTTTAACCATACAATCGATGTGCATTAATCAAAAGAGCTGATGTGATTCATCAGCTAATTAAACTGCACACATACTGGAAGAATGACATGACAAAGAATTAACTATCAGAAATTCTTACTTATCCACTTAAGGGTTCTCAATATTTCCTGTTGAAGCCTCCTGCATTTTTTGTTGACAAGAGTTCCACAATAAACAGGAAAACAAACAGACAACAAATGAATATTTTTCCCCATATAAAAAATACTCTTTAAAAAGATTATTTAAAAGTTTCCCTGAAAGATGGACAGAAGTCTCAACAAATTATGGATATTATATTAATCATCGAATTAAAGCAATACAGCCCCCATTTGAAGCTGTTATCCTAAATCCTGTATTACTCTCTAATAAAGCCAATAAAAGTGTGTGTAAATTCCTTTCCAGATATAAAAAAAAAGAAAAAAAATTTTAATTATGAATGCACCATTAACAATCAGAACAGAGACATACACAGAAATATATTAATCAAATATCAGTGACATTTATCTAACTGATAGAAAAAATAATTAATAATTTTAATTTTTTATTTTTTATTTTTTTTTTATTGTATAGAATAAGAAATAAAAACTTCATAGCAATTTCCGCAAACATCAGACCAATTTTTCTTGAAATTAGTTGAAGGAATTCAAAACAATCAACTGGAATTCATTAAAATATTTCATCATTCTTTAAAATAATTTTGTCTAGATCCACAGAAAGGTAACAAAGTTCAATTTTAACCTGTAAAAAATTTAATGAATTTTAGTATTATTGGTTTCTTTCCTATACAGACAAAAACAAAAAAGATTTAAGAAATTTATATTGGTGCATGATTGATACATTAATATAATAAAAAACAAATGTACATTATTCTGTGTCAAAATCATGATAATTTAATTTATTGATACTAGCTGTTTTTATCACATTTTAGATCACTGAATAAATATTAAAAAAATATTTACAACATTAGATCCTCTTTCATTTTTATGTTTTTTACTTTGACATCAAGATTTTTATTGTACACTGAAATTTTCAGTTCTACAAAAAATTCAATAGTCCTAGTTCAGGGATGGGCAAACTATGGACCGCTGGAAGGTTCTATCCAGCCACATATAGCAGACTGTGCAATTTAAGATCCAGCCAGCGGCTTTTTCTTTTGGCATGAGTTCTAATATTATTGATTGCGTATGGAAAGATTGCGGACATATAGCATCTTTGTGATCAGTTGTAAAATAATTAAAAGTATAGCATAGCTAGTGCTTGTTTGGGTTATTTGTAAAATATTTCAACCCCAAAATGGGTACTAACAACATAAAGTTGACTCAGAGTGCTGTGCTTTTAATGGTAAATGGACCTGGAAATATTTTTGACAGATGTAAAAGATAAACCAGCGTGTCTCATCTCCAATGCAGCTGTAACAGTCTTCAAAGAATACAGCATTTTCCATCATTTCAGATCTAATCATAAGAATTCAAATTGCAAAACAATTCGAAAAGTGAAATGCTGTTATAGTGAACCAATGCAAATAAAAAAAGTAGTGCTAATTGTTTTTTAATAAAAATTTCAATATAAATATACTAAGATTTCAAACATAAGTATAACACATGCATTAAAAACAAATACAATATATATATATATATACAGTCAAAAGTCGTTAATCTGGACTCGTCAGGACTTCGGCGATTCTGGATTATCGATTTTTCCGGATTATCAGTTTAAATATCAGTTTAATCATCAGTTTAAATATGGTAAGATGGCATGCAGAAATTACAAAATTAAAAATATGAAACCGTAATTTATGAAATAAAGAACAATTATGATCTAAAGGGAATCAAAATTTACAAAAAGAAAAAGCTTAATATTTATTTGTTTACTTTATTAAACATTTCTTTCAATGTAAGTCGCTTAAGTTGCTTCGTTTTATGTGATAATACTTTCTCTTTAATTCTGTAAACAGACATAATTTCTTCTTCAGTTTCCGCTGGTCAAGTCCTATAATTGCTGTGTCGAGAATACCGACTAATTTGTCAATCGAAATTTTTTTATTTTCAATAACCTCTGTGTCACTTTCTTCACTATCGGAAGCGAATTATAATGAGGAGGAATTTGATTTAAATCATATCAAAGATGGAGTACATCGAGATGAAATACTACATTTAGTAAGGAATTATAAGCCAAATAAAATAAAAACATCTGCCCTGAAGATAAGGACAGTGCTGACAGATCAACTTCCAGTTCATTGTGTGCCGCGATGTAGTGTAGCTCGACAATTGGACATGAATTGTTTCACAGTATGGAGAGTTTTGCGGCGCGTTATTGGATTTTACCCCTACAAAATCAGCCGCTTGCACGAACTGAAACCAAGTGATTATGATAAGCGAGTGACAGTTGCTCTATCATTTCTTGCTAGGATAGAAATTGATGATGCTTTCCCATGGCACATTCTGTGGGGAGATGAGTGCCATTTTTATCTCAATGGGTCCGTAAACACACAAAATAAGCGAATTTGGGCGCACGAAATCCCATCAAATTCCCCAAAAGTCACTGTTTGGTGTGGTTTCACAGCTGAATTCGTAATTGGGCCATTCTTTTTTGAGATCATCACTCCGACAGGACCCCAAACTTGCACCAAAAATGCAGAGAGGTAGCGCGAAATGCTGCAAGCATTTGTTATTCCACAACTTCAGCAAAGAAACCGTCTTGAACAGACAATCTTTATGCAGGATGGTGCTCCAAGCAGCTGTTGTGCTAAAACTTCACTGATGATAGAGTCGCAGTTTTCCAGTTGCATGGCCGCCTCGTTCCCCTGACCTCACGCCATGCGATTTTTGGCTCTGGGGTTATTTGAAATCTAAAGTTTATGTTGGTGGAGTATCAAATTTGTCTATTCTAAAGGACAACATAACAAAGACAGTGCGGATTATTCCTTGTCATATGTTACATACGGCTATAGAACGTTGTGCACAGAATGCACGGTGCTATTTCTGAGAATGGTGCTCACATTGAATGTGGTCTAATTCCTCACCAGGGAACTTAATGTAGTAAAGAAACATTAATAATTTAACTGTACGATTGTATGTCTTGATGTCCCAGTCTTGATTAGTCTAAATACTAAGTTTGGTGCCCTTTCAGCTAATACATCGTGCTACAGGGTGCTCCAAACACTGTCACTTTAAAAAAGATCACCCTGTATATTTTGCATGCTTATACGTATGTAAATATATTGCATGTTTTATGATTTTCAATTTATCAATGATATTAGCTACTAATAATGCTTCTATTTAGTTAATTTGTAACAAAGTGGACAATATGAAACAATATTAACATTCATATAACATTTTCATAATATATTATTTGAAGCTGAAAAATCAGTTTTGAAGCAGTTATGTTACTAGGCAGCAACTTTATTATCTGAAATTTAGTAATGAATCTGCTGTTTCACTTGAATGTTAAATATTTATATGAAGTCTTTACAAAGTTTTGGATTACTCCATCATGTAATATTATGCTACCAAGTTTTTAACAATTATGTGACATAGCAAATGCTATCACTGCATGAGACATTAGACCTTAAATTAATCTGTCAACTTAGCAAACAGCCAGATCTCAAAATGACATTTCACATCTCATTTGACATTTTATGAGATTCTCTTTCAAATTATAAAGGTAATTACTTAAAAAATGAGATGTTTAAATAATAAACACAATATATACCTTTATTTCATTTTCTGATCTATATCAAACTGATATAACATATTTAATTTAAATACAATGTTCCAGAACTGAACGTATATTTAAGACATGGAAAAATGTTGACAGATGGCACTTTCTATATATGAATCTGTAGTTATATAGCTAACAAACAAAAATTATTATGCACAACCTTACTTATTTGTTCATGTTCTAGCAAGCACAGTGTATGCATGTTGTTTTGAAGTATCTTTAGGGATTGATTAATGAAAAAAAGAGTATGTGTCAAGTTCTGTTTTAAAGTTGAAATGGCAACTTTTTTTTAAATTGCATGCACCATGATCTTTTGATCATAAGGGGCCTTGCAACCCAGTATGAAAACGAAACATATCCAAGACTGAACAGCTTAAAGCTAACAAAAAGAAATACAGGGTGGTTATAAAATAACTACCTGATTGATTAAATGATTATCACAAGAAGTTTGAACAATCTATTGAATCATCTAAACAGCTGCATCTAAAACTAATGAACGGAATGGAACTAAATCTCATATACAGATTATGTGGAAAGCCTGGGACAAAAAAATTTTGCACCAAAAAGAAATAGTAGTAAAAGCTACTAATAGGAGAGATTTTAGAACTGTTGTCTCATACACACTAGGAAATTTGCACAATCTAGGTAGATTATGCAAGTTTCCTAGGGCATACATGATATCAGTGCTACTCATTCCCTTTAAAAAGGGGAGTGTCATGACATGATGACCACGCATGCGCAGTTTTTTAGCCGAACGGCCTCAACGCCTCTCTCTCATGAGACTTACTAGAGAAGAGTAGTTAGTAGGTAGTAGCGAAGTAACGAAGGAAACGTGTTGTATGTCAGCTTAGATGCAAAATACGAAGTTATACTTGTGTGTTAATCGTTTGTACTTATTATTTTTATTTGTGTGTTAATAAAGTTTTGTGCCGTTAAAATGGCTGTTTTATGCAACGCACACAATACGATACGTCTACGGTAGGAATTAAATACATATCCAGAATCTACACGCCCAAAAAAGAAGGATATGACAGTGGTGTCAGAACAGGAGGATATGTCATTCTGCAAAGTTCACGGATAAATGCGTAAGTGAGTCTTCAGAAAGGTAAGAAATTTGTTCAATTTTATTTTGTTGGTAAAGAATGAAGAAAAAATTTCGAAAGAGTTACAAAAAATGGACATTAAAGAGCTAACAAAATCAAGAAAGAATGGAAAACTTGTAAAATAACAACTAATCTTATGAATTTCTAGAATAGGAAATAAAGTCTTTTGAAAAAAAAATCAAAAATTAAGAGTACGAATTCTCTTGGAAGGCATTCACAACCAAATGAAAAGCGAAACAACTTCCACACTCGGAATTCATTCAACGCCAACAAATTTGGCGCCAGCTATTCCCCTAATGTAAGCAAAATTGCAGTTGTTCGAACTTTCCCTTGCTTATTTTGCGAAAGCGAAAATCATGCTTCGGAAAAATGCGTTATGTCTCCGGAAGAAAGGAAAAAGAGTTTAAGGGCTTCTAATCGGTGCTTTCTTTGTTTCGAAAGGAATTGTAGAATAAAAAATTGCCCTTCTCAATTAAAATGTTCAAAATGTAATTCTAAGTATCATAATATATTGTTGCATGAAGATAAGGAAAGGGTTGCTAAAGAAGAAATTAAGAATAATTCTAACGCCGTAACTGCAAAGATTTCTTCTAAATATTTTACTGCGAATCAAGAGGTTAAAGAATTAATAGATGACTTGCCAACCGTTAAACTTATATGTGATGGTAAATTAATTAATGCAGTAGCAGATACAGGCACGCAATTAACCGTTGTCAAGACCGACATTGTACCAGAAAAATACCGTACGCCACATGGAAGTGTTATCCTCACGTCAGCTTTCGGGCAAGCTTTAAAAGCTCCTCTCATTAACCTACCTTTAGTAATATATTCTGAAAATGATAAATTTATGTCACCTATTTTTATAACATGTGCAATGGTGGATAAGTTATGTAATGATTTACTCTTGTCGTTAAG